GCTTTTTTAATAAAATGTTTTCAGTCACGGAAATTAATCGTCACAAATTGGTTTGAAATGGAAAACCTTAAAATTGTGTTTTTACCAGCTTTAGTGGGACTAGGTTTGACTATTGTGTTGGCGATACTCTTCTCTGCCCTTGTGACTAGTGTTGGCGGCTGAGTAGGGGCTGGCTGGATTTGAATATGAGTGGCCGAGTTAAAGGTGGTGGTGCCGTAGGCAGGGTGGAGGCACTGTTGATGGGACCCAGGACAGTCACACTGTTAGGAGACTGGGAGGGATAGGATGCCACCTGAGACAGATAGGATCCACCTGATGAAACAGGGGGTCCCTGAAAGCCAAAAAAAATAAATATACATCTAAATCATTTATTTTGCATCCAGGTGCAAATTTTTCGTACAACAGCCCTTTTCTGACATTACTGATTATTTTTATGGAGATATACTCTACAATCATGAAGAATTTTTTTAACATACAATTTTGTACACATCTATGTACCTCTGAATTTTAAAAAGAATGTTAGATGTACATAATTTAAAATAAGTCATAACTGTTTAATTCTAATACCCCCCCCTTCTCTTACCAGCTGTAATGTCTGGTTACCAAGCGATTGATCAATATTAGCAAATGACATCAGTTCATCTGTTAACACCACATTCTGAGCAAGAGCTGAAGCTGGTGTCATGTTACTGTAAGAGGGAATGGAGGACTATAAAAGAAAATTATAAATTATTCATAAAAAGCAATTGGTTTCTGAGAGCTAGCTAGCATTTGTAGCACATACATGGTTCACCATACTACACCATATGTTACTGGTAATTTTTGTGTTGACTGTGTACATATATAACATTTGCTGCATTTTTTTAATACGGGAAACACTATGCTATATAAAATGTTTTCTGCAGATTAATTTTTTTTAATATTGCCATATTCTCACTTTCTTTTGGCAAGGAATTTCAATGGATGCAAAATAACAATTTTTTCCCCTACAAGCAACAAACAAACCTGAATGATCTGTGGTGCCCTGCCAACAGTAACAGTTTCTGGGGCAGGGGCCGCCCTCTAGCATTGGTGGCAAGGACAATGTCCTGAGCATTCTGATTGGTCCGAGAGACTGACTGTTGCACTATGGGGCGAGGGCCATTACCATGATTACAGCGAGACTGTTTGTGGCTCAGAAAGACTGACAAGGAGCAAAACTGCTTCTTGCACTTGCCACATTGAAAAACATCATCTTCATCAACTAAAACATGTAAAGAAAAGTTTAATTAAAAATTAAGGCAGAGGGTATAAGAAAATTCAAGTAAAGAAAAAAAATCTCTCAACACTAATAAAGTCTGATATGCATCATTTAAAAATAACATACAATCATGTACATTTTCTAATAAGACCTTTTGTGCTCCTTCTATCTCTTATCTTAAATATTAATTATGCCCCAGATCAAAGGTCCCGTGTCACAGTAGGTGCTGGTAAGAGAAGATCACTCACTGCTCAATGGCTCTAAGTGCTAAGTATAGGACAAAATTTGTAGCTCTCCACCGGCAAGTGGTGGTGTCTCCATATGGGTGAAAAATTCTCCAGAGGGATGTTAAACAACATACAATCAATCAATCTATTGGTACAGAAATTTTTGATGTCACCTCAACTGTGACCTTTGAACTACATTTGAATTTTGAAACCCTTATCGATAAAACATTGTACAAGTGTATATCACTTCAGTCTTCTCCAACTCTAGAATTGTGTTAACATTGCCTGAGGGTATAGTGTTTCACAAACACATCTAGTATCAAATTATTTCTGAGCATCTAAAACATGTCAAATGCCATTTATGGAACCCTAATATTGAATATTATTGATGAGGGAGACACCTTTATATGACTTTAAAGGTCTGAAATTTCTTTTATGGAACATTTCAAGAACAAATTTATATGTTGAATATTTATAATAGGAGTTATCTTTCTTACCAGGAGTAGTCTCCGTGATGACCTGGGAATCAATCAGGGACTGGACGGCCACGGCTGTCTGGTTGTCCATTCCTGGCACTATAATTAAAAGGACATTCAGGATTGAAAGATCAATATTTAAACATTTACAAAGATTTGATTATTAGTTATTTATATTCCATATAAGTGGACATTTTAGTGAGGATTTTATCTTAATGGCATTATTAAGCAAGGGTGCTGAGATCGCTAAAATTGAATATTGCTAAAAATCAATTGCGTTTTATTTTAATACTTGTAATAGCTTCTTAAGTGAGCATTTTAACATTGCTAAAATTATTTCACGCTAAAGATAAAATACCCATTTTTAAGGAGAAATCGCTAAATTTGCATCTCGCTAAAATTTCCACTTATACAGTAAGTAGATACTACATTGAGACTGTATTTCATCTATATGACAGGAAAGTATTGAGTTAATGGGAGAAAAAAGGATTCAAAGGAAGATAAAAGGGAATGAGAGAAAGACCAAATGAGAAAGAGAGTGCATGCATCAACTGATCAAGACAAGGCTTCATTTATTGTTACAATTAAATGCTTTCTTTACATTTGATCTGCAGAAGATGTTTTGTAACATTGCAGAATAAGCATGCAGGTTTAAGCAGATTTGTGACTTTTTTCTGCAACAAACATTGAATGAATGACATTTTAACGTTAAGATTTAAATCAATAGGTCTTTATTTATGTGAATGTAGTTAAAGATTGTATTAAATATTGATCTCTGACTATATATAGTTGTGGAAAATCCTTTTACATTTTTTCATATTGGGAGTAACAGATGGCAGTGGAAAAGAAAACATGCATATATCTTACTTGCAGTTTAGAACTAACTTACAATCGCAACCTAATTCTCAGGCCTTTTTGACAAGCAGAAAAGAGATCTTGAATGTGTTAAGTAAGGCATCCATGCAAGACCATATGCACCATTGTGAACTTTGAAAAAATTTAGATCTAGGTCGACCTTGAAGTGAATTCAAGAACCATGAAGAAAGATGTGATTGAAGTGATGTTTAAAAAATATGAGAAAAATTGTTCCATAGAAAAAACCAGAAAGCAGAAAAATATTATTCAGTACGTGCAGCATGAGCTAGTTAAGTATTATTAATTTGTAATTAAATTTTCAATAGTGATAAATATTGTCATCCTATATCCATATAAGCTTCCATCCAACTTTTTTTTGCGATCAATCCAAGTATTAAAGTATTGCAGTGGATAAATCTAAAAAATTTGTTTATGTCTTATTTTCTATAAAAACACCATGATAATTAATTTTTATTTTATTGGATTTTCTATTTTGTAAGAAACACTTTAAAAGCCGTAGTATTTTTTAATAATATTTTTTGTAATTTCCATAATTAACAGATCGAAATAAGATGTATCAAAAAGACTTCAAAGCCTCTAAGCACAAAACAATATATAATCTAAAAATTAGATCCGCCACATAACACTTAGGCCGCTTAATAATGCCATTCCATTGACCTTCCCAACACCCATTTTACCCCCTCCGGGATGCATTGTGTTTCAAATTTTAAAACTAAATTCCAATATGTTATTTAAAGATTCTCGTAAATTTTCCATCAAAAAAGCATCAAGTGACGTATATTTAAAATTTAAATGCTTAATAATTGAAGCAAGTGTAAAATCTTATTCAAGATATGTCCAACATTTTTTTCGAGTAATCAAAATGGCGGAACACCCGCATCCGACGCTTCACAATTGATAGAACAGCCTAAGTTTTATATCTCAAAAAATAATCGCTCAAACGTATGAATAAAAATGATAACCTGTATATGTCTCTAAGAACTGTTGATTCATGGTCAACTATGTTGCATGTATTCTGACTAAATTCTGACACCAATCTTCATTTCCATTGTCAATATCCAAGTTATCGTTCCTGAATGATGACGTATGATCACGTGCCTCCTAAAACTGAAAGTAAAAGAAGGCCGGCAACTTCACACGAAAACAAAAAACAAAATGATTTTCTTGTTTATAATAACTGTGCAGTTCAGCATTTTGAATGCTATGAAGCCAAACTTTATTTTAATGCTGATGGATGATGTAAGTTTGATAATGTGTCATTCTATAGATCTTCTGTATCTGACATCCGTATTGATCAGTTGATCAGATCCTGTTCGCTAGACGGCTGTTGATCTGACCTGTTGACAGCTGACAACCTCTTTACCTGTTCTACATGTAGTGGGTGTGTTTGAACGATGTAACCAAACAAGAATATTATGCATATAATCCGAGAGACATTGGAAGAAACAGAGATATAAGCTTAGGATATAATGCCAGGCGCGGATCCAGGATTTTTTCCCTGGGAAGGGGGGGGGGGGGGGGGGTTCCACCCCAGTCAAAAAAATCCAGCACTGAAATTTCTTGGCAAGCAAAGCAAAAAAACCCCTCCTTTTTCAAACTTGAAAAACTAATTTTTTTTTCAGCCACTTTGCAATCACTCTTTCTTGGTTTAGAATATACATTTAAAATCTCTGAAAAATCCACATGTACAAGTATCTGGTGATCAACCCTGTCTGACCACTACACAACATTACATAGTTTAATGCTGAACAGTCATGCAGATTTATTAAATGATTTACAATCAAAGAATTTAATGTTTACTTTGATTTAAAATTATGAGTGACTAGTTAAAATTTCTTCATATTGAAAGATCTCTAGAGTGCTCAACTTCTTCCTTAGTGTGACTGTGTGTAGTTCAAATAGATTCATTTTTTGGTGGTCCTATGCCTCAAAATGTTTTAGTTTTGGAATGAAAAAAGGATTTTTAGGATGCAAATAAAATAAGAATTGATTTTAAAATTATAATTTTAACCATTAACTCTCTGGGGTTTTTCTTTTTCAGCAAGAGAATATAGAGAAAGTAGACATTAATTTTAAGCCAAACTTCTCTGATGTCTGTGATTTCTTCTGCCTGATCATTGATCACATGATTGTCTGCGTCAGGGAGCTGCCGCGGGTGGAACATCTCCTGTTCCAGTCGGTGGAGGATCTACAAATTTCCACCATCAGGAGCGTGACCGTCGAGGAAGAGCTGGTGGAGATCGCTAAGGAGAGGATCCGAGTGGTCATCATGGCAAACAGTCACGGGCCCAACACGTAATTATGTTGCTGCTCATATTTTTATGACTTCTGAAATTTTTTGTCAGTACCTGGTGAAAGAAAGTTGTGAAGTATTTTGAAAATAAATTAGGAAATTTAAAAGAAGCACATATATGGAAGATTCTTAAATTTGAAGAAGAAGAAAAAAAACATTGCTAGCAAATGTCAGAGGATTTTGAGAAGTTTTACCATTTCAATTCAAAAAATTTAATTTGCATAAAATCAACTTTTTTTTGTAGATATACATCAGTTTATAATCCATACAAGTATCTCATCTCAGTGGAAACAGAAAACAAGGTCAAAAAGTTCATAAGTAAGGAGCGCCCTCTACGGGAGTACAGACAGGAAATAGAGAAGTTGAAGAAGCTGATCTCAGCTGTTGGATCACTTCCTGTTGCCATCCCCATGCATTTATTTTACCTAGACTGTAACCATATCAACCAGGTAAACAGATTAAAAATGATATCTTATTATGAAATAAAAATGATAAACGCCAATGAATGAAAGAGTTAGAAGAAGGGAGATAAACCTTTTAAAAGTTTTAAAATTTACCGAGAAGATTGAATGTGGATGATGATAGAATTATTTATAATGATGAGCATTTGAATCATTCCATTTTCACAGTGGCTGATTAAAAGGGCCAGGTACTTCATTGACATTATGGTCACCAACATAGCCAACATGAGCCGGGACTTCAACAAGGGTATATGTAAGCAGTATGACACGATCGTGAAGAAGGTGGCCCAGCAGGCCGAGAATACAGAGGAACTGGTCCAGATGCAGAACTATGTAGAAAATCTGAAAGTGGGGGAATTGCTACAGCTAAAGGTAAGGGACCTCTCAAAAGTAGGGCAATAACTGTGAGAAAAAATAATAGAACAAGATCATAGGGCATGAGTGAGACAAATTTTTCAAGAATTCAAGTTATTGCTGGAAATGATTCATATATGTCAGATTTAGATTTAAATATATTTTAGAAGGAATTTTTCATAAGCAGACTATATTGCATAATTACATGAAAAAATCTAAAAGATTAAAGTGATTTTTAAAGTGGGGAACTGTTGTGCAAAATGTAGAGACCTATATGTAGGGAATTTGTGGAATTTTCTAAACATTCAAATCATTAGAACATCTTCATTGAATTTCTTCTTCAGGACAAACAAGAAGTGGCTGGACAGAACTTGATGTTTTTGTTGGACTACACCTATCTATCTACAGCTGATATATCTACAAACAACACCACATTCACCTGGGCAGAGAAAATAGTCCCCATCATCAGCAGCACGTAAGTTACAGGGCAGGGGCATTGAAAGGACTTCGTAAAATGAAATTTTGTATTGGCGGGTTATAGTACAAATTACACATTATTATAAGAGTCTATTATTTCAAGCAAAAAGAAAATTTGTAAGTTTAAAATACCAAAGAATATACTATAAATGTATTAGGCATTAATAGTCTTTTTACCATATTTGAAGAGGCATTTAATAATACAGAAGTTTGTAGATTTGATTAGCTGCAATACTTCATGAATTGTTTTTTATATATGTGCAAGGCATTTAAAACATGTAAAATAAAATTTTGTAGTGGAGGATGAATAAGTTCCCATTACTTTGTTTGTTTCAAGAGATAAATAGAATTTTTTTAATAAAGTTTAAATGTGTACCAAAGAAAATAATTTTTCTTGTGATATTATTTATTGATCAATTCTACTGACTATCTCTTTCCTTCAGAGAGAAGAAGTTGTCCAAGGACCACGAGATTTACAGTAACAAGCTGAGGGATAAGAAGAAGAAGTTCCAGGAGGAGCTGGACTACGCTGAGAAGCAGGTGAAGATGTTCCAGAACAAGAGCAACATGAACGAGGCCGAGAACTTCATACAGGAACTGGAGGACATCGCCAGGAAACTGGAACTGTTCCAGGAAGAGGTCAGGGGTCATATCTAGGGAAGCTGGGAAATTTATTTCTATTTCTGTAGAATTTGGGGGAGGGTATTACTACATGGGAAGTTCTAAAGTTTTCTATTTGTGTTGAATATAAGGGTATTGTGTAGCAAAGCTGGAAAATTTCTAGTTTCTGTTGAATTAAGGGTATTGTGGAAAGAATTGCAAATTTTTTTTATGTATAGTTTTCTAGATCTGTTACCTTATCATTGACCCTGAAACTTCTGTATTCTCAAATAAAGAAGTAGAAAAAGATATTCAAACAAGTGTATATTGTTAAAGCAGCCATTGGGGTTTAATTTAAAGATTCTTGTTTCCTGATTGATTTCAGAAAGTAAAGATAAACCGCGAGGAGATGTTGCTGGGACAGGAAGTGATGTCACAATACGGACAGATCCAGGCCATGGCCACCGCGCGAGAACCGTACGAGAAACTGTGGAGGACGGCCGTCACCTTCCACAAGGAGCACGACAACTGGATGAACGGACCGCTACTCAAGGTCAACGCAGAGGTCGTGGATGAAGAGGTCAGTGATATATACGGTCAAATGGAAAATCTTTCATTATGTCGTCAGAAATCCACGGTCAGTCTGGCTTCTCTTCCCTTGGATGGAAAGAGAAGACTGACTATGGGTTTCCGATGATGGTTTCAGTGTATAGAGGGAATATTATTATACCCCACGCAACTAGTTGCGTGAGGTATAATGTTTTTGACCCGTCCGTCAGAGTGTCAGTCAGTCAGTCAGTCCTTTTTTTTGTCAGCGCAACGCCTCATATAAAACCACTGCACAGAATTTCGTCAAACTTTGCAGGTATTTAGAACACAATGTGTAGATGTGCATATTATCAGGAAATTCCGATTCCTTTATTTTTCCCAGGAATTTCCGCACTTTTTAACTTAGGCATTTGGCCATACCTTGAATATAGAGATGAACAGTTTGTCAGAGCAACTCCTCATAAAGCGCTGCACAGAATTTAGTCAAACTTTGCAGGTATTTAGGACACAATGTGTAGATATGCATATTACCAGGAAATTCCAATTCTTTATTTTTTCCGGGAATTTCCGCACTTTTTAACTTAGGCATTTGGCCATACCTTGAACATAGAGATGAACAGTTTGTCAGCGCAACTCCTCATAAACCGCTAAACAGAATTTCGTCAAACTTTGGAGGTATTTAGAACACAATGTGTAGATGTGCATATTAACAGGAAATTCCGATTCCTTTATTTTTTCCGGGAATTTCCGCACTTTTTAACTTAGGCATTTGGCCATACCTTGAATATAGAGATGAACAGTTTGTCAGCGCAAATCCTCATAAACCGCTGCACAGAATTTCGTCAAACTTTGGAGGTATTTAGAACACAATGTGTAGATGTGCATATTACCAGGAAATTCCAATTCCATTATTTTTCCCAGGAATTTCCACACTTTTTAACTTAGGCATTTGGCCATACCTTTTATATAGAGATTAACAGTTTGTCAGCGCAACTCCTAATAAACCGCTGCACACAATTTCGTCAAACTTCGCAGACATTTAGAACACAATGTGTAGTTATGCATATTACCAGGAAATTCCAATCCTTTATTTTTCCGGGAATTTCCGCACTTTTCAACTTAGATTTTTGGCCATATTTTAAATATAGAGATGAATAGTTTGTCAGCACAACTCCTCATAAACCGTTGCACACAATTTCGTCAAACTTTGCAGATATTAAGGACACAATGTGTAGATATGCATATTACCAGGATATTCCAATTCCTTTAATTTTTCTTAGAATTTCCACACTTTTCAACTTAGATTTTTGGCCATATAAACTAGATGCTGTCATGAGACAGTAATACCCGCATGAAGGTATTTGCCTCTAAATACACGCTCCTACATATTGGGAGGCTTTCCAAGGGAAAAGTCAAAATAATTCTATAATTTACATGTATTCATCAAATTGAATATGAAATTTATATCCTGTGACCTATAACTCAGAACCTCTTATATTTATTTTACAGGCTTAATTCATTATATACCAGTTTGAATTCTATTAATGATGTAAATTAGATTTTGATAAATGTTTTGCTCATAATAGGACCTTTTTAAATTTACTAATCCACCTCCACCCCTCTAGACACCACAATCACACAGCACATACTTTTTGGAATAGGCTAGATGGAAAAGTTTTGTTAAAACATCGTTTGTTATGAATTAATTTAAAATGTGTTCTTGTACTATACATGTTAACATGTAAATTTCTACATCAGATCATGTTGCGTCACCCATTATCATATTTTTTAGATTATACACCATTCAGCACACCTCGGCCGATTCCCACTTCATCTGATAAGGTGACGGAATCGACGAAGGTTTTCCGAATGGAATAGCATATTAGCACATGCTGCAGTCTGGTGTGCATTGGATTAATTCATTTTGTGTTATAATTGGATTATATTTCATGAAGTTTACAAGACCTATGGCAGTCGGTAAGTACAAGTTTAAGTATAGTGGGGGGTAAAATAAACCCAAACAATTTGGTTAAAGTTCAAAAAGGGTCAAAGATCATTGCATGCCACACTAGACGAATTTCATATTGTGAAGTTATCTCCTGTTGTCGATGTGACATTCAGTTACTGCCAATACTGGTGTGGATCCAGCATTTTTTTTTCGGGAGTAGGGAGGGGGGTTCACATCTCGGTCAAAAAATTCCAGACAAGAATTTCCTGACAAGCAGGAGAAAAAAAACTGAAAACAAATAAACAAAATGAAAACAATGATAGTGGGGTCAATGTTTTCTAAGTTAGGGGGAGGATGTCCATATTTGCTTCAGTATATAGTCTTGTTTAAATAACAAAGCAAATTCCAGGGGGGGGGGGTGATGGGGGATTCCAATCTCCCTACCCACTCCCTGTCCCTGAAATAACAATCTATTTTGTGATTCCAATTAAATAGTATATTTTTTTCCATTTGACTAATTATACATATTTTGTTTCTTGTGTTTATATTATGTCTGTCTATTTGTCTGCAGAAATTATAACCTTGCCCATAAGTTTTAAGTGGGATGGGCTATACAAATGGCTTCCACATTTTATAGGTTTATTTCTTGTGACAATTAAGACCTTTTATTTGGGTACCATTAATTTTTACCTCTGATCGCTTGACCTAGGATACACATTTTTACAAGAAAAATACCAAACTTTAAACTTGGCCTAAATTTTGATCAGTAGGTGCTAGGGCTTTCATGCTTAACATGTGTATTCATTGTGAACTGTCAACAGGTATAAATATGTTTGACCTTGACCCTAGAGTTTGAACCACTTAAAAAAAATTAACCTTGGCAAGTAACTTTTGAACAGGAAGTACTAGGGATTCTTTATTTCACATGTGCATTCCTTGTGACAAGACTTTCTTCTGATACCAACAATTTGAACCCTTTGACCTTGACCTTTGAGTTTGACATATATTTGAGAAACTTCAACCTTCGCCATAGGCTTCCATACAGGGACATCAGTGTTTCACAAACACATCTTGTCTTCATTATTATTTGGTGGTGTCTCCATATGAGGAAAATTTCCCTGAGAGAGATGTATTCACAACAAACAAACAAATTACTAAAGAAAATATAAAACATGAATATGTTGGTCATGCATATCTCTGCATGAAAAAAACAGCTTTTCAAATACTGCAACAATATTGTAACCCTTTCAAAACACTCATTTGAGCTTTTCTGGTTTCCTTAGCATATAACGTCTGTCGTGACGTGTCGTCCATCTGTTTGTCTGAAAACTTTTTACATTTTTAACTTCTCTAGAACCACTGGGCCAATTTTACCCAATTCATATAGAAATATGTACATTTGTATGTCAGACTGTCCATCTGTCTCAATAAATTTAACCTTGGTCATCACGGTCATATCTACTGAATGAGAAGAGACATTCATATTAAACTTATGTATTAGTATTTACCTGTGAGAATGACATGGGTTTTTTTTTTTACATGTGACCTAGAAGTTTGACCTACTTGCAAAAAAATTAAATTGTTATAAATTCATCATTTTGAAAGAGAAAAGTTAGGGCATTCATATCATAATGCATGTATATTATTACCTGTGATAAGACCTTTCCAAATAAATCATGACTTTTACTCTGTGACCTTGACCTTGAAGCGGTCAAGCCTAACCTACTTTTCAAAAATGTTGCATTTGCTTATAACTTTTGATTGAGATGAGATATGACTCTCACATTTGACATGTACATTAATTACTCATAAGAATTCAAAGTGTTTCCCAGCATACGATGCTTTTTTTACCCCTTGACGTTGATGTTTTACATAATTTTCAAAATATTTAACTCTCCTAAAAGATGATTAGACTTCTGAGTAACATTAAGGAGGACATCAGGGAAAACAGGGCTTTTTGCACAAAAAACGTCATTTTTCCACCCCCATATGACCCCCCGGGGAAAAATAAAAATTACGAAACCTTACTGCACATTTACATGACACCACCAACCATCTCCCAAAAGATGATTAGGCTGCTGAGTAAAATGTAAGAGGAGTTCAGGGAAAACGGAGCTTTTTGTATAAAAAACGTTATTTTTCGACCCCCATTTGACCCCCCGGGGCAAAATCTAAATTCAGAAACCTTACTGCACATCTACCTGACACCACCAACCATCTCCCAAAAGATGATTAGGCTGCTGAGTAAAATGTAAGAGGAGTTCAGGGAAAACGGAGCTTTTTGTATAAAAAACGTTATTTTTCGACCCCCATTTGACCCCCCGGGGCAAAATCTAAATTCAGAAACCTTACTGCACATCTACCTGACACCACCAACCATCTCCCAAAAGATGATTAGGCTACTATGTAAAATATAGAAGGAGTTCAGGGAAGACTGGGCTTTTTGCATAAAAAACATCATTTTTCGACCCCCATTTGACCCCCTGGGGAAAAATCAAAATTCCGAAACCTTACTGCACATCTACATGACACCACCAATCATCCCCCAAAAGATGATTAGGCTGCTGAGTAAAATGTAAGAGGAGTTCAGGGAAGATGGGGCTTTTTGCATAAAAATCGTCATTTTTCGACCCACATTTGACCCCCCGGGGCAAAATCAAAATTCCGAAACCTTACTGCACATCTACATGACACCACCAATCATCCCCCAAAAGGTGATTAGGCTGCTGAGTAAAATGTAGAAGGAGTTCAGGGAAGACGGGACTTTTTGCACAAAAAACGTCATTTTTCGACCCCATTGACCCCCGGGGCAAAATAAATTCCGAAACCTTACTGCACATCTACATGATACCACCGACCATCTTCCAAAAGATGGTTAAGCTACTGTGTAAAATGTAGGAGGAGTTCAGGGAAGAAAAGTGTGACAGACGGACGGACGGACGGACGGACATGAGTAACAACAATATACCCGAACTTTCTTTAGAAAGTGCGGGTATAAAAAAAATGCCTCCCTCCCTCATCATATTTCTTGAAAAAAAGGCCTGAGAACCAAGGAATTAACTTTGCATGACCTAATATTAATTGTAATAAATTCTTTTCATTGAACAGGTTTCAGCTCAGGTAGGCTCTTTAATGGATCTGTACTCCACGTTCGCAGATTTTGCAGGCGTTGATAAACCAAAGGACCGTGTCATCGATGG